AAGTATAAAACCAAATTATGGTTCGCTTCTTGTGAGGAATTCACTATGTTGCATGTGTGTGTGTGTGTGCTGGTATTTAGAATCTTTATTACTTAAATGTGTGTGGTAAAGGCTTAATTAAAATGTCGTTGAACTGTCAAGCGGCGGTAGCAACATTTATGAGTTGAATTTTTGGTTTATCTCTTGTATAAATATTTTTTGTTTGTATTTTTATTGTAGCCTTTTTAGTTTTAATTGCAGAATTATTTTTCTTTTAACTACACGAAAGTAATTAAAAACCAACAGCTGTTGAATATGTGTGTATTTCATATACATAGATACATATATATGAGAACATTTTTTGGGTAATCTGGCGCAAAAAATTTAAAAAAACTACATAAATTTAATGTATGAATGTATGTGTGCACAAAGAAAATTAAATATGAATAAAATCAGAGTCATGCTTATACTCATATTGCAATGCTTGACTTGAAGTTTGGTAATTAAAACCGAATTTATGAATTGTTTTTAACGTATTTGCGCGTTAAGCTTTTAATTGGATCGGCGGTGCTGTGAGTAGCCTATATGAATCAGTTTATTAAAATCATTACGATTCACATCCATTATTTATACAAGTTAATAAAATTATTTAAGTGTATTTATAGTATTAGTTCGCGAATAGCAGTTAGTCCTTGGAACGCGCTACAATTCTATTCTTCTATAATGTTCTCCCAAATCTAGAATCTAATAGTAATCTTTCCACTAACTTTTTTAGCTTCCACACATCAAGGTTAAAATATTAGAGCACTTAGGAGAAATCTTACAACTGTGTACCTGTAATAATGCAAAAATATTTTTGGGTCTGAAACAATCATTAGATTCACATTTGAACGATTATTCGATTGCAGTTATACATCATTTTTTAACTAATCAAAAGCTAATCATTCAGATACTGTGTATACATACATATATAATAAAAAAAAATTCCGTTGGCTACACATACTCTAAGACATGCCGCTACTTAGCACACTCATCATTTGCGGTATATGTACGGTATGTCTACTCTCGCCCAAACCTTTGTACTCTCATTTTGAGTTTTTTGTAGGCATGCGTAAGTGTAAAAGCGCGCTTGCGTTTGCTCTGCTATGCGTATAATGAACCCGTTCGTTGGTTATCGGAAATTCCATTCATGACGTATTGACAACGGGGCGAGCAACTTTAGATAAGATATACATATATACAATTATATATATACTTAACATATATTATTATTAACATACATACTGAATATGTTGGCATATCGCAAATACCATAGTAGTGCCGATACAGTCATACAGTTGGGGATATGTGTCAATGTCAATGTTAGTGACGTCACATACGCTACATCCGCTTACACATATCGCTCATAATCTATTAAGATACACAACATAATTGAGTTATTTTAAGCAAATACTAGTATATGGCGCCAAAGTTGATGACACAGTTGGTAATGTGTAACTTCCGCTTATGAGCTGGCGTTCGATGACGCTTGTCAAATATAAAAGCTAACATATAGTTATCTATGGTCATTTATTTCGGTTGCTATTACTAATTTTCGATGGAGATAAAAATAAATTTCGCTATTTGATATAACTCTTGTATTTATTATGATAATTAATAATGTAAGTATACACGATAATTTATTGATCATGAGCAATGAAAGTGGAGTTTATCATATATTTATTCTTTTTCCATACAAGTAGATTGAATTGATTATGCAAAGAAGTATATTAGATTGAGTACAAGTTCAATTGAGTTAGTGAGTAATTTGGAAATGTTGCTATTTTTATACTCCCGTAATATGTTAATATGAGCCTAATCGTTTTATTGACATAACACTTGAGCTAAAATTAAGATATCTCGTTGACGATACTTAGTATATACATATGTACATGAGCGCTCTGAAAAAGTTGGGTTCATTGCCCCGTAATATGTTTAAAGCGTTATATCACCTTGCAAATCAGAAAAAAAGTACTGTTCTGTGAATTTTTTTTTAAGATATATTTTGTTTAATAAATTAATAAAAACAAGAAAAAACCTTAACTTCGGTTGCACCGAAGCTATAATACCCTTCACAAATGCTAAAGTTTTCTTACAGGAACTTGATTTTGATCGTCCAGTTTGTATGGCAGGTATATGTTATAGTCCTCCGAACTGAACATTTTTTTCAGAGATTGCACCATTCTTTAGGCAATAATGAATGCCAAACTTCTGGAAGATATTTTGTCAAATTAAACATTTTTCCATGCAACCACTTGATTCAGTTTGTATGGCAGCTTTACGCTATAGTAGTCTGTTGGGACAAATGAACAGCTTCTTAGTGAGAAAAGGACAGGTGCAAAATTTCAGATCGATAGCTTAAAAACTAAGGGACAAGTTTGTATGTATGCAGACAGACGGGCATGGCTAAATAAACTCAGCTCATCATACTGATCATTTATGTATGTATAGTTTATAGGGTCTCAGACGTTTCCTTTTGGGTGTTACGAACTTCGTGGCAAACTTAATATACAGTTTTCAGGGTATACAAAACATATTACATACACATAGAGTGGCTTAAAAAATCCATATTATAAAATATAGTATTCCTTAAATCATTACCTAGCAAATATATTTAAGAAGCTCGTGCGGGAAGACCATTTGCGGATCAGCTGAAAATTTTTAGAGAAACTTCGACTTTTTTAAATTTTCAAAGGGAAAGGGATAATCCCTAAATGAGCTAAGCATATTCTAAAATTGGTACACTTGGAAGATACAAAATTAAAGTTATTTTCTTAACTAATGAATTTGCGATAAGTCTCCAAAAAATAGTTTTAAACATTAAATTGAATAATATGCTTGATAGAGTAGCATAAGAGTCTATCGCCCATTTTTATATGAAATTTCATATCTCACAAAATTTATGTTCGATGTCATTCTAGAATAATAGTCTATTGGAGATATTATGTTTTACATTTGCTTAAAAGCCAGCAACTTATATGTGTATAGCTCAGACCCTAACAGAAACAACATAATTATTAAATTAGTATTCAAAATAGCGTTATTCGTTTTGTTCGAACGTTTTAGATAAAGACAATTAAGACTAAAAGAAATATTTAAAACTTACGGGTTATTAGCTAAACTTACTTTTCAAAGAGACGTAAATTTGTATTAGAGTTTTAAAGCCATAGGGTTTCATAAAACATCGTGTGCAAATAATGTTCGGTTATTTGCATAAACTAAAACTACCTGTGCAGAAATTTATATATCGCGAAAAAGATAATGAAAGTTTGTATATTCGTCTGTTTGCTGTGAGCAAAACAGCTTTAATTTTTGAAAAATAAAGACAAGAAACGATAGAAGCACTTTTGAAAACATTAAACCGATAGTCACTTCAAGCGATTTTAGGTTATCGAATATAAAATTTATTTTTGAAGTTTTTTGCTTGTAGTTAGATCTTCATATGTTAATTAGTAAGTATTTGGCAGTTGTTTGCTTACGAAGCGAGAAGTTCGTCTTTTGATTTAACGATGAAGAAAACTGAACGAGTTTGCTTGAAATTTTGTATTACCAATGGAATCGCGGCTCTACGAAATCATTGAAAATGTAGCAGAAGTGTTTTGAGGGGTCTATATTCTCAAGAACACAAGTATTTGAGTGGACGTGAAGTCATCGAAAACTTTCCTCATGCGAGTCGTCCATTCATAGCGGTTAATGACGATAACATCGAGAAAGTTAAAGAAGCAGTGCTTGAAAATCGTCGTGTTGGCATTAGGGAGAAAAAAGAGGACCTCAATATCCCTTATGGATCGACTCAACACATTTTAGTTAATATTTTGTGCATAAGGCGTGTTAAAGCTAGATTCCTGAATGACCTAGAAACCTGAATGACGTCTAGTAGTAGGTCGCAAAAAAGATGCTTGACAACGAAGCTGAGGACACTACATTCATCAACTGCACTTTTACTGGTGCTGACATCGAAACTGTTCAACAATATAAAATATGGCGTTTCATATCTCAGCTGCCGAGGCTTGTGACTTATGTATGGAAAATTAGATTAAGCGTTAGCTCAGGATTCTATTTTAAAGCATCTTTATTTGTAATAAAATACCTGAAAATGTGGTAGTTTTTTTTTGTCAATCCGGGTCAAATTTGATCAGATGGTATATACATATGTAATATGATATAGTGAATCGTAACAACAAAAAGCTAAATTTCGTATTTTTTCTTGGTAAACTAGTGCTAATATAGACCATAGCTATAAACATTGCATAGGTCATAGCTCAATACTGAACTCAGCTCAAAATCGCGCAGTGCAACCGAATTTGGCTTTTGTCAATTGTCGCATTTGTGGTAGTCAACAAACTTGGCTTTGGCTTCCGCTCACGCTGTTGCGCGCATACTTATACTATTGCAAAATCAAAAAAAAAAAAAATGCACACAACAAAGAGTAAAATGAAAATAACAACAATAAAAACAAATATTTAAACATTTCTACATTTTCGTCTTGACAACATTATCATCGTTATTAGGTTTAACCTTCAGCAGCGCGTAGCCTTCGTTGTTCTGACATTTTACAAAACGTCAGAACGACGTTGCCTTTTTTTGCTGTGGGCGTTGCACAAGTTTGTATGCACAGTTATATTTGTATGTAGTCGAACAAAAGACGCTGTAAACTGCCAACACTTTACAAAAAGTGCAACAGCAATAAAGACTAACAAAATTTCAAGGATTTGCTGGGCATTTATGTTGCGCTTTGTTTACTTTATTGCTTTTGCATATTTTGGTTTATCTCTTTTCTATTTGTTCACCTCTTGTTTTGCTTGTCCTTTTGTCGAGGTTAATGGTGGTGTTGTGTACAATGCATTTGATAAATATGCATGTGTTGGTGTGTGATGTCCTTGAGGTGTCTATTTTGACTATTAAGTCCTTAGATAAATACATGCCTACATATAAATATGTATATATGTATAGATGTGTACTTACATATTTATATTGTGGTGATTTGTTTCGGTAGGCCACCTTAATTTATGTTTTTTTGGTTGCAATTTCTGTAACGGCAATGAAGTGCACTCATTCTTCATTCACACTTCACCGCGAAGACACATATGTATGTACATACAAACATATGCATCGGTTGTTAGTTCATATTGTAATGTAATGTTTGACGTAGCGACGAGTCGGAATGTCGAAGTCAACGCGAAAATTGAAAGTTGAAAGTCATATGTTTGTCGTTGCTCGTATAGGTGACCTGAAAAATAACAGCATTATGTGAAAAATGTGACGGATCTTAGGAAAAATAAATTTAGGTATGTTGTAATGTTTCCAATTATTTAAGAATGCGAACTTTATATTGGTAATATACCGAACATTCCAAGTACGCAATACTAAATATTAACACCATTTTAATAATGACATTTGCAAAACGACAGTTATTTGGGTTTACTCTGTGCTAGAATGGTTAACAGATTTTTGTGCGGAATTTTATAAATATATATGATGATATCCATGATTTTGGATATCTACTGGCATTTGAATTGGATCTTATACTATAGTAGTAATTTTTTATGTCCTGAACATGGTATATTAGCCCATTTGCGCCCACTGTACTAAACGACACCACTTCAACTCACTCTTAAAAGAGTACTTATACTATTGAAACGAAATTATTTTGATTATTAGTCACCTTATGATATTATCTTCACTTTAGATAAGATTATAGGTAAACATATGTAACAGCTGATGACTGATTTTGATCCATAACCCATCTTGAGATGGATAACATTCATTATTGGATAATATTCGACCGAATAGACAAAGTTCGTGAAGAAAATATAGCGGCCGTAGCGAGAATGTCCACGAAGACCGTGGAGAGTCGATTCGGTACCGTTTGCAGAAACTCGGACTGATGTATGACACGACTTGGCGCATTTTACGTTGAGATCTTAAACTGAAAGAGTACGAAATACAGCTTATGCAAGAACAGAAGCCGTTCGACCTTCCCAAGCGACATTGCTCCGCTCTATGGGCTCCTGAAAAGTTCCAACAAAATCCAACGTTTTCGAACCAAATTTTGTTCAGCGATGAGGCCCATTTCTGGCTCAATGGGTATGTAAACATACAAAAAACAACCTGAAGAGATTCAAGGAATTTTTGGGATCCTTAACCTATCAGGATAGACTACGACAAGAACGTTAAGTTGCAGTTATAATGAAGATCTTGGACTTCCTTTTGTATCGAACTGTATGTCACGAAAACGATTTCTGGATATTAAGAGAAACCACTTAGTTGATAAAAGCCTTGCATCTACTTCCAATGATAAGATGTTCAAAATCAGGCCTTTGTAACATGCTAATGAGAAAGTTTTGTAAAAAAGGTATATTTCACAATGACATTTCAATCGATGAATCTATAATAAAATATTATGATCACTATCCCCCCAAACAGTTTATCAGAGGAAAGCCAATTAGATTTGGTTACAAAAACAGAGTGGCAACCAGTTCAAATGGTTACTGCTATGACTTTGATATGTAATATATTGTGGAAAAACTGTGGCGAGTCTCTGTTATTAAAATGCCTTCGGTACCTGAGGAACACACAATTTATTTTGACAATTTTGTTTACATATTATGATTTACCGCGAGATTTGAAAGAAATTGGTTTTAAAACAACATGAAAAAGTCATCTAGCGCTGAATATGACTACCGTTTCGATAACAGTAATGAATTACTGGTGATAAGGTGGAAAGATAATAGTATGTGCACAATAGGAACCAATTTCGATACAATTGAGCTTAGGGGTAAATTAAAATGTGAGTATTCCACACTTATTTTAAAACTACAATAAGGGCATGAGCGGTATGGACGGTTCTATCGCATTGTATCACGTTAGTATTCGTGGTAAAAAATGGTGGCGGGTTATCTTCACATAGTATATGCTTAATATGAGTATATCTAACGCATGGCATTCACATTCTTTAGCGAACGAAAATCGATTTGGGCAATTAGCTTTAAGAAGGCATATTGCACGAAACTACCTTAGGTCTCGCAACTGCGACAAAACCCGCCCATCAGGTTCTATCGCCAGTATCTCATCACTATAAAATGTAAAGGGTGCATTTTTTAGACAGGTGTTTTCAAGAATGACCAAACATGTGGTTTTATTATACAGATAATGGTTTAATGTTTTAAAAATGATTTCGGGCAATTGACCGCGCCAGCTGGCTGGAATCAAAAACCTTTCTCAAAAAGTATTAAACTGTCCGTAATGGGGAGTCGTATTTCAAGTCGACGCGATTATAAATATATCAGGATAATTAGACGAGTTCAAAAATAGTACACACAACTTTTAAATCCCGCCTTATCTGTTCATACCGTGAAAAACATAATATGCCTTATATTCACTGATATCCAAATATTTTGTGCCAAAATGGAAAATTTGTAACGCATTTCATGCTCAATACGATTTGTTTGCAAACTTTTATGCCGCGCACACGCAAATCCAACGCATGCGACGAAGTCAGCATAGAAAGGCGTAACCTTATTTAAACTTGTACCAAGCGAATCGAAACAACGCACAGCCGAGCGGTAAATCAAGCGCGAGCGAACCAAAGAATAGTGTTTTGTGAAAACTGTGTATCAAACGGTACAAGCGGTAGTAGAAGAGAATAAATTCATGTTGTGGCGGAAAAGATTTTGACTGCCACAACATGTGGCATAGGTGGTGGCATAAGCACACACTTGTGCTGACGTGGCACCCACTAGGCGGTCGCAGCCATACGTTTCGGATTTTCTGCGTGTGCGTGAATGAGCACACGCGGACTCAGTGCAGGATGTGCAACGTAAGTGCAACAAGCGATGGTTGTGGTGCTAAACGTTCTTTGTCGCTTTTTGACGCGAAAAGGGACGCGAGCGTATAATTACGATTAGTAACGCTAATCGACGCCTCAATTTGAGCGTGACACGCATTTTGTAGCTCGTAAAAATATAAATACACACATATGTATACAGTGTGTACCTACACACACAGCACTGCAAAGCGGGCGAAGGCGATAAGAAGGATATTACCTTGTAATATATTGTAGGTAGCAAATAACAACAAAAGTTGAAAATAATCAATATAACGCACACTGACCGCCGACACCGCCATCTTCAGCGGCTGCCGTGGCGAATGCGCCAACAGGTAAACAAAGCAACCCGGCTGAGGAAATGCTAATAAAATTTTTACACATACTAACAACTATGCATGTTTACAAATGCAATAATGCTTTGACGGAATAACCGTAAAAATGTGCACATAAAAATGTTATGGTGTGTTGAAAGCAGAGAAAAAATATTATTTAGACACAATAATATCTCAAACTGCAACTAAACAAAGTTGCCTTCAGCATGTGCGTGTAAGCGTGTGTGTGTGCGGCAGACACAATGTTGTCAAAGCATAGCGGTTATTAGAAGCTGTTGTGACATTTTCCACAAACACAAACGCATAATTGGAAATGGCTTACCGCGCATGGCACAACCAAATTGCTTCGCGCAGCTTCTTGCGCTTTGCTGATTAGTCTTTCACCAAGTCAACTAGTCAATATAAATGATTCCCGCTGTTAACTGTTTACTGTACGCGTGAACGATGACTTCATTGCTGCGCAGCGGTGTGCTATTCGGTAGCATTGCTCAGTCGCTGCGGTAGCGCCGTGACCACGCAGCGTCCTATGGCTACTGCCGCTAGTAATTGAAATGATCGCTCACCAAAGTATTGCATACGAATCAATAGCAATTCTTGGTAGTTGGGAAGTGGTAAGAAATTTAAGCTATAAAGCGGGTGTATTTTTGTGGCAGCGGCACTTAATTATGGGTTTAAGCGCGATAAATGCGGGCGGTGCTGTCTTAACCCTTGTATGCACTATGTTTAATATTAATTTAAATGAAATTAAATTATCTGAATAAAAATTATAGTAAAACAAAGAGAATTTGTCACTTCAATGTTTTAGTTATGATCGTGTTACGGCTTGTGTCTGTAGATCTATTCTCTGATTCGACAAAAACACAATGATATTATATAAAGCGTGTTTTTTGGACATGAGATTTTCAATAAGAAATAAAACGCGTATACTTTAATGTTGTTTCCAAGAATTTAGCTTTATTTTGAAGATAAGGGTTTGCTATTGTGTTTTAAATATTATTTCGGGCTAGTGACCACCATGGCTGGCGCGAGTAAATCCCAGCTGAAAGGCCCCGACTACTTTTTGCAGCAATTAGGGTCGTTTGTTAGCAACAACGCGGTGAGTTTTCTCTTCAACGGCGTCAATCCTCTCGGGCTTATCTGCGCAGACAAGTGACTTCCCATAACCTCTCGAAAAAAAAACATACAACGGTGTTAAATCGCACAATATTGGAGGATGGGCCACTGGCTCACGACGCGAGATAATGCGCTCAACAAAAGTTTCCTTCAATAAATTGATTGTTTCATTGGCTGTATGACATATAGCGCCGTCTTGTTTTATCCGAAGATCGTTCACATTAACATTCTCCAATTCAGTCAGGAAAAAGTCAGTCTTTATGGCTTTATAGCGTGCCCCATTGATTGTAAGATAATGACCGGCTTCAGTTTTGGCGAAATATGCACCAATGATTCGCTCTGCCCATAAAGCACACCAAGCACTGACTCTTTGAGGTTTAAACAGCGTCTCGCAAGTGGATTGTGGGTTATCATCACTCCAAATGCGACAATTTTGTGTATTAACGTACCCATTCAACCAAAAGTGAGCTTCATCGCTGTACAAATTTTTCTTGTGAAAATCTGAATCGGTGGTCATCTCGTTAATCCATTACCATTCACCGAACGTGCGACGCGTTTGATGTTCGTTTGGCTTCAATTCTTGCACGAGTTGGATTTTGTAAGCCCGAAAAACAAAGATTTTTCCACAAAAACTTCCATAAAGTGGATGAGCACAGCTCCAATTTTCGCGCGCGATGGCGGATGTACTCATTCGAATATTCTTCGATAGCAGCGATCATCAGCAGAATCATTTGTCAAAGACAGGAGTACGTAATAATCACTTGGTACCAGATGCGGCTTATAAGGTGGTTGCTTAAGAACTACCTTCCCAGGCTCCTGGAGCTTCTGGCGAATCACTATCGATATTTGTGTTGTCTTGATGGAATACAATTGCTCTTCTACTGGTCGATTCTGTGTGATTTGATTGGCGTAAGTTTTATCTCTCTAACGCCATATAGCAAAACCAGATCGTACTTATACAACGTGATATACAAAATGGCCAAAGTACCTAACATAATTGTATTAGAGAATGCTATGGTATTATTTCTTATAGAGGCGGCTTTAATTATGTAACTTCCATTTAGTTTTATTTTGGAACGGAGTAGGTTTCAATTTATTTCGCCGATAATAAAAAACTGTTAATTTATATATTATTTCATAGATAAGGTTTTTAACTAATAAAAGTAAGTAATCAACAAATAAATAATTTTTATATTAGTCCCTTCGCGATTTCCAAATACCAATATCTCGAAAACTGGAGCCAATCACATATTGATAAATATATTGTGCAATTCACATTTTTAAACACACAGAAATGTAAATATTTTCATACACCTACTTTTTTCTGCTATTTAGTAACAATATTATCTTCACACTGCATAAAATTAGCGTAACGATTGAATGAATTGTCTATTAATTGTTGTGTTTATTGGCAGGTAAATAGTATTTTATTGCGGTGAATTTTGACTGGCAGCTTCACGTGGATTATAGCGCTTAATTGGTTAATATGCATAGATGCTTGAGTGGAAGAATACAACGTGCGATACGAAAATTTCCATTCGTTATGTTAATTGTGATTATTTGTTATTTTACGATAATAATATAAAAGGGCTGCAACTTGGGCTCAATTTGGGTGTTCAAAACGATTTTATATTGATTATGTTACAGTTTATTTTTTTACAAATTTTACAGCAAGAAGCTGGAGTATGCTATTAAAACCATATTTGTAGAACACAAACTTTTTTTAATGAAAAATTTCAAGTTTACCTATAAGTAACATATTGGAGACATTTATTTGTTTTTAAATGAAGTTAATTTTAAAACCAATATCCAAGGGTTAAATGCAAATCTTAGCCACACATACGCAAAAGTTTTGTCAAGGTCATATTTTCATTTGATGCTGATCCGCAAAAAATATGCATCCCAAAAAGATATAAATGTACATGAGCAGCTATTTATGGATAGGGATTTATGATGTCATGCAAATTTTATAGCATTTATTATATTTCTTAAAATCCCAAATTAGTATTATGGTATAAACGCATTGTGTGAACTGCTGAGCCAATTAATGCAATAAATCACATGATTACTTTATGCAGTGCAAACTCTGTTTGTGGTCTAAAAAAATTAGCCAAAATACGAACATCTGTTGAAACAACTTCTCATTTCTTATATATGAAAAATATTCCTTACAAGAACTTGATTTGAAGGACTAGTTCGCGTATACACAGGCGGGCGAACAAACGAGTATAGGTTAATCAATTCAGCGCGTTGAACTCGTTTATACATACATATATACTTTATAGGATATCAGAGGTTTCCCTTTCGGTGTTACTTTCGGTAGGGAACATTTGTTGTGAACGAGCCTTAAATTTTTTTTCTGTTTGGTTGGCATGAAATCTGTCAAACTATCTAGTAACCTTACAGTCATTGAACAAACAACATCATATTTTTTTCATTTCGTGGAAGATGTAATATTTTGTACCGGTACTGTACTGCAAAGACGCATCGATCGCTTCGAGGCATATGGTGATCAGGCTCTATCAGAAGAAACATGCAAAAGATGGTTATAACGGTCCAAAAGACCAGTTTTGCATCGAATTGTCACTGGCGATGAAAAAAGGATTTATTGAAAGAATTGTAAATGGAGAAAATCATGAGGTTATCCGGGGATACTGTCAACATCGACTGCAAAAACAGATCGATTCGGTAAGAAGGCAATACTCTGTGTTTGGTAAGATTAGAAAGGTGTGGTATATTATGAGCTTCCAAAACCTGGTGAAACTGTTAATACTAATCGCTGCAGACAACAGGTGATCAATTGGAACTATGTATTGTTTGAAAAATGAGCAGCATGGGCCAGAAGACATAGCAAAGTAATTTTGTTACACGACAATGCACTTGCACACAAATCAAAATCGGTTCAAGATACAATCAAAGAACTTGGTTGGAAGCTGCTACCCCGCCCGAAGTATTCACAAACTTTGACCCTACCATTTGTTTTCATCGATGGGGCAGGCATTGGCTGAGCAGCGCTTTCATTTCTACGCAGAAGTCGAAAATTGGGTGACTGATTGGTCAAAACACAAACATTTCTATTGGCATGGTATCCACGAATTCTCAGGTCAAAGGTGGTCAAAATGTGTAAAAAGCAATGTTCAATACTTTTAATACATTTATTTTACTTTCCCATTTAAAATTAGTATTTTATTTTCACAAAAAAACGCTTTTTTTATACCGGGACACAGATAATTAAAAGTGCGCAATAGCGCCAGGTGAGGTCCTGTAATATAACAGTTCGTTTCATATTGTCAGTTGTTGTTAACAGCGTTTGACGATAATGTTTGTTTATTTGTTGTTGCTGAGATTTTTTGTATTGTATGCACATTTGTCAGGTGTTGGCATTAAAAGACTAACAATGCCAATGACAAGCGAACAAATATCGGGAAGTGCTTTCATTTGGAGGAGTATACATATATACAACGAAATCAAAAACACACTCAACGCAATGGCAGTCAAATGCCAGTGGAAAATAGAACATTGTAAACAGCTGCAATGTTGGAGGCACAGGACACAATCAAGATGTCGCTTGCACTGCACACAAACTGGCTGAAAATCATCTTGGCATATGCTGGCGGTACACATGTCCTGATTTTTTGTTGGTGTTGTTGTTGTTGTTTGGCTTTTTAAAGTCTTTCTTTTCAATAACTATTGAATTGTGGGATTATTTGTATTTACAACAACATTTCGCCTTTCATTGAACCGTATGTGTGTATGTGTGCATACAACTACTTCCTCTCGGCAACAACAGGCGTTGGCGATTGGAATAATATTCACCTATGCTGCCTATGGAGTCTGCTCCGTCATGGGATGCCATTGCGGCTGTGGCTTTGCAGTGTCACTCTATACCCTTATAGAACAACACCAAAGCATTTGCAGCATGCACGTGTATGTGTGTGCGTGTGTTTGTGCGTATTTTTGTCAACGTGTCGCCGTGTAATTCTTATTTGTTAGACACTCTTTTGTCTGCACAAGTAAAAGATTTGATCAGTTTTTAATGAACTTCATTCATGTTTGAATGACTTTGATCGGCTCCGCTCTGTGCAATGTCGACTCATCGATATGTATTTGGCGTGGCAAAACAACAATAAGTACTTGAACAATGCCTTCACTTGTATGTGTGTGGGAATGTGCTTGTGTCACTGTGGTGATGGAGGATCGCCGGCCTGGTCGTAGACACCATTCAACATATTATATGAATTGTCTCACATGAATAAATAAAGTTATACAAAATGCCATGTGTCCATATAAATTTGAGGTGTGTGTGCGGGCATTGGCATTTTTGGAGATTCTTGTGTATGTACATTTGTAAGTGTATGGTATACATAAGTGGTAAGATTTCAGAAGTCACGATAAATCATAATAAATTTGTAAAATTACTGTTACACATTCCAATCAATTTTTCGTTTTTTAGAATTTCGAAATTTTTAATTGGTTAGCAAATTCCGTTCGAATGGACATTAACGCGTGATATGCTTTGTTATTTATTTGTTGTTGTGTCATGTAAACTTTCTTTGTTTTTCAGATGAGATCGGATTTAAAAACTTTCCAGCTTTGGGAAAGCTACTTATATCTTAGTATATGTTTATATATTATTTCCCTAAAGCTTATTGAGAAGCAGGAATTT